TTTAATGCAAAAATCAATCTAGTTAATACATTGAAAACTTTTAGGAGTAAAAAGTATTACACATGTGATTATTATAATTAACCCTAGTTTCCTTTTTGTCTATCATTAGGACAAGTTTTTGTCAGTTGCATGACAGTGGATCCTTGATTACAATCCCATACACATTCATTTAACAAATATTTATTGAGCACTTAACACATGCCCAGTTAGGTGCTGGGTCAGCCTTAAAATCTGAACAAACAAACTTCCCACAGGCATTTGGCTAAGAGCCATTAGTGCATGCCTTCCACATTTGTCCTTATAAAATTAAAGAGATTCTCTTATTAGACATGAAAGTTTAGTAAACATTAAAGACTTTTTATTTCAGAAGGACTCTGATTCAGAAAATACTTAAAAGAGATAAACTTCATTTGCAGAAATACTACAGGCTGTAAACAAATTTGGCATGAATGAACATGAGGGATGGCGGATAGAGCTAGCATTCTGGAGTGCATACTATGTGCCAAACACTTCCTCTGTATTATTATAATAAATGCCCCCCAATAACTCTACCTAGAAGGAACACATATTATTAACAGTAAGGAGGCTATAGCTCAGGGAGATGTGAAAAAATTTTCCTAAGGTCGTAGAGGAAGTGTTAGTACCAGGAGTTGAATATAGACTCATCTAATTTTAGAAATCATGGGTTTACTTTTCTACTTTGTCCTGCATGAAAGAGACTATCCCCCAAAAAGCAAACAAACAAACGCATCTGTTTTATGTGGCCAAGGTTGAAATGGTGGATGTGCATACCCATCACCTGGGCATGCCTACTAAGCAGAGGTCTCCTGTTACACCAGAAGAATAATGCTAATAATAATATTGATGTCCCATCATCTCTCTTCCAGTGCCATTCTAGGCATTGTTTAGGCACTTGACAAAGATTGTTTTTGACCCTAATCAGCTGAGAAGCTTCCTTGCTTCTTCACTGGTCAGCCTATAGGCTCTTTCAATGTAGCAACCAGAGGAATCTTCTGCAAATTCAAGTCATATCAGCTTTCTTCTCAGCTCAAAATGCTCAGGTAGTTTCTGATTTCACTCAGAATGCACACAAAGGTTTTAGAGTGGCCTTCAGCTCCTACATATCCTACCCACAACCTCCTTGACCTCACATCCTACTACTGTTCCCCTTTCTCCTTTGACTCTAAGCCCTTTTACCGCATGAACATGGGTACCATAATTGGTTTGCTTTTCATTTTTAATTAAAATTTTAATATGTAATTATACATTCCTATGTAGTTGTAAGCTTCTTTGCAGTTCTACAAACACTCCAGGTCAACTTCAGCCTTGAGGCTTTGTATTTTCTGTTCCCTCTAGCTCAGTACTTTCCCACAGGTATCTAAATGCCTCACCTATTCACTAGCTTCAAATCTCTGCCCCAATGTCATCTTTTAAGTGAGGTCCCTACTACCACTACTTTACTAAATACAGCATTAAGCACCCTCTGTTGCTATAATTTTTTCCAATAACACCTTCTAATATACTATATAATTTATTTTTGTAGTTCATTGCCTGCCTACCTCCTTCATAATGTGGGAACCATGAAGGCAGGCCAGCTGATGGTATGGTGATTAAGGTGGCTGAATCTCACGCCTGACTGCATAGTTTGAGTCCCATTTCCAGTGAACACTCTAAAACCTTTGTGTACTTTATGAGTGAAATCAGAAGCTACCTGAGCATTTTGAGCAGAGAAGAAAGCTTGGATTGAAGGACTTGGATTTGGATTTGAAGAAGATTCCTCTAGTTGTTACATTGAAGGATCCTGTAGGCTGTAGATCGAAGTTAGCACAGACTCCAGAAGGTCATGGATGTGCTTGCTTGCTAACTGTCTTATTTTTAAGTCATGAATTGCATGTCTTATCTTTTTTAGGCCCTGTATTAGGTCCTAAGAACACAGAATTGAAGCAGATTACTTCTTTTAGGGAGTCATGTTAGAACAGGCAGACAGATACTCAGGCTGCCCCCTGAGAGCCAAGGGGGGCAAACAGCTAATGTACCCATCTCTAGATGGCTTAGAAGATACCATTTAAGTTAGCAAGGTTTTCTTAAAGGCATGAGTTGGCAGGCTTTTGGAGTGCTAACTTAGTCCTACAGCCTGCAACCTCCAAAGAGGATATGAGGAGGATCCTGAACTTCAAGTACCAAAATGAATTCCTGAGAAGCAAGTGGCCTAGAGGTACCTTTTGGAAACAAGGTGTTAGTGATTAACTAAAACCAGAGGGTCTGCTCTGGCCTGTCCTAAAACCTCTACCAACAACATCCATCATTTGTTAAACTATGGGTCAAATCCAATGTTAGGAAGTTTTCTTTCATCATTGAATTTAATTGTTAAATCAAATATTTCACAAATGAAGAAACTGAGGCTCATAGAAGTGAATGTCTTTATGCAAAAACCTCAGAGCTGAAGACAGTATAAACATCCAGGCTTTAGACTTCACAATCCAGTGTGCTTTTCACAGTACAGAGCCCTTCCTCCTCCCACTTCATGCTGACATTACTCCTAGACCTGCTATTACTCTTAGCTCTGAAATTGATGTCTTGGAGAACATGGAGCAGCACATGCTACTATAGGGTAAAATGGAGACAGGATTTTGTAATTGGAGTAACTCTGGTTCTAATTTCAGCTCTCATTAACTCCACTTACAACCACAGAGAAGTTGCTTTACTTCCCTAGTGCTTTAGATTGTCCTGGAAAATGGACATCACTGTAATGTGAAGCTTTGATGTCATAAAGTCTTTGATATGCCCTGCACAAAGAAAGCAGTGCTTTTCTTCTGGAAAGTTCTATAGTAAGTTCTCCTGCCAAGGTGACAAATATAAATAGACAATGTTCTGAGGGACAAATAAAAATAGACAATGACCATATACCAAGAAGTTGTCATCATATCCTTCTTGAATTTTTTTTTTTTGCAATATACTGGTAAATTAAGCAGTATTTTGGAGCTATTATACTTAACACAACCTACACACTTATTTTTAGGAACTTCTTCACACTTTCCTGGATTTCTTGCTAATGGTCATGCTAGGCATAAAAGTATGGTAGACCACTGCCTAGACCTGCTTGCAAATTAAGTTGATTTCTTTATTTCTTGACAGTTTGTTGGCCATTGATTGCAAGCCATCTACTGCCAAAGGTGTTTGGTCCTGAGTAATTACTAAGGGAATGTGGTGATTTCCGGCATGGGAAATATAGTGTGAGTTCCACTGTAATTACTATGGAACCCATGAGGTATAATTACCCAACAGGCTGCACAAATGGCATCTTCTGGCACTGCCAGATTAGTGTCTGTGTCCTTTCTATC